TTTTCTGTATTCATCATTTTCCACTTTCATTTGAATGGACAGTTTTGTTTCTAGCAAATTACTATTTTTACATCATAGGAAAAAAGGAAGGATTTAAACCAGTAAAGGATTTCTAACCAGTGAATACTGAATTAGAACACACAATATGCTTGAATTTGGCCACTGTATATTCCTATAAACCAAGTTTAAAGAGAAAATAATCTTTAAAGCATTTGAACATTAAGAGAGAAAGATAGCTTTAAAGATATTCAAGGGGAAAGAGTAGAATATGCTGAAATATAGAAAATATAAACTAATTTGCATTGTTTTGGGCAACGGAGTTATATTATTACTTTTTGTGATACAGTATATTTCTGATAGAAATACTTCCCAAACCATTCTTAATAGGAGTCAAAATTTAGAACAAAGGAACCCTAATAAGCAATACAGCAATCAACTAAGTAATTTTACCAATAGCTGAAAAGACTGTATCTTACCTTCCTCATCATATAAAAATACACTAGACACTGGACTTTTGTGTTTTGTTAATCCATCAATCAATCAATCAAAACTTTTATGTTAGCCTGTAGGAATGTTCAAAGAGCCATAGTTATGCTGGGTGCTGGTGGCTCACACTTGTAATCCTAGCTACCCAGGAGGCTGAGATCTGAGGATCACGGTTCAAAGCCAGCCCAGGCAGAAAGGTCCGGGATATTCTCATCTCCAATAAACCACCAGAAAACCAGAAATGGCACTGTGGCTCAAGTGGTACAACACTCCCCTTGAGCTGAAGAGCTAAAGGACAGTGCGCAGGCCCAGAGTTCAAGCCCCACAACTGACAAAAAAAAAAAAAAAAGAGCTGTAGTTATCTAATTTACAAGCGTTCTATTCATAGGATACCTATAATACACAAGGAGCAGTGCTATGAACACACTGGAAGAGCAATGCCAACGCTTCTTTTAAGGAAAGAAAGGGGCAGGGATGTATCTGCGTCCTTTGCCTCTTGCCACCCCTCCTTCTTTTCCTGGAGTTGCTTCTAAGAGCAACCACTTCCAGACAGGAGTTGAAGCCCTCCTCATGTATCCATCTTGGTATCAATTCTTAGATGTCTAGCATCCTGAAGGGAAACTTAAGCTGTTCCTTCCTTTCCCAGCCCAGCCCAGTTTCAAGGTTTTCTAAACAGGAACTTGGGGTCTGATTCTACGGATTTTTCAGGAGTGGATGATACAAGCCATGAGGGTCTTCAGAGGGGGCTTTAAAAACTTACAAGATTAGCCATAATGTTGTTAAACATGCCATCTGTCATATTCATTGAATTATTCTGATTTTCTTACTTCAAATGAGAATAACCAAACAGTAAACTCATTTGAAGATTAAAATTCATTTGTTAAAATAAGCCATCATTCTTTTCCTTAGGCCCTCATCTTCATTACCATTCACACACTAGTCTTCCAACTGGCCTAGCTGTGTTTAGTCTCTCTATTTTGTTCCATCTCTGGCTCATTTATTACCCTGTTTCAAGCATTTTGGATGTGATAAAGCAGTAAGTCAATAGCATGTAAGGCTTAGCCTAGATACCTTTCCAGCAATACGCTTTCCTTTTCACACCCTTATGGAATTTAACTCCAGTTATGGAACTTAACTCACTATTTAGTCTTTCCTGACTCTTGACTTAGTTATGTTCATCTGTCCATTATCCTTCCAGTGACTGGATGGACTTTGAGATTTAGAGTTCTTAGAGGTCTTCTTTGTCTTAATGTTTTCATTGCTTACCAGATTGCTTGGTATGTGCAGGCAGTCTGCACATGCACTGCTGGTTGGATTAGCTCCCAGCTGGTCAGAGCTTTCCTAAATCAAAACCACTAATCCTAACAGGTTTCACTGTCATCAAATAATTACTGTATGTTTGAGGGCACATTTGGCCAATTAACCATTCTTGTAGATAGGCAATCTGAGGCACAGACCAAGTATGTCTATGGAATTACTCCTAAAGTAGGTTGGATGATGTAAGTTCAGTTTTTGGTAGATGAATACACAAATAACTTTCATATAAATATGTTTTATTGCAGAGAAGTTATAATTATTTACATGCTGCCACACATCACAACATAAATTTGCCAAATATTCCATGGTGGGATGCTGTAGGTTTCAGATAATAAGTTTTAGAAGAACCACAGATTAAGTGAAGAGACTTACAGCTTTGTTGACTCTACAACTCTCAGTTGCTAAATGCTAGAAGTCAAAAGGCAGTGTCTTTTCAGTCCTACCTGTCATCACTTGCATGCAGAAACCTAGGAAGCAAATACAAGAGAACGGTCGAGTTTCAAATCCACATGTGCCACCAGTTTACAATGGGTTAAGTTATAATTCATGTCGTGAAGCATGTAATTCTTGCATAAAATATACAGTTCTATTAAGCTTGATAGAAATCTACTAATTTATAAATCCTGGCTTAAAAACAAGGACAGGATGCAGCCTGCACATGCACTGAGAAGGACAACCTAGCAAATGTTTGCCAGACCTTAATAGTACCTACTCACTTCTTATCTGTCTGGAATGAGAATCTCAGAATTTGAGATTCTCACTTCTCTGGGTGATAAGTAATGGCAATGAAACTCTAGGAAAGACCTTGGGCATTCTCACTGGTTTACGCTGGTGGAGAATAATCTATAGACTGTCACTCAGGTAAAATTTGGCAAGTCTTCTTTAAGCCACATTTTGAGCAGGATCAACCTGAAGTGCAATAAAAGACATTGGTGCTTGACCACTTAATTCTCAAAAGTGAACCAAGTGTTAACAGATGTCAAACATAAGTGAAACAAGTAAGTGGGCCTAGAAACTCTAAAAAAAAATTGTGAACTCATCGTAACATACTAAGATAAGGTCCAGGAGAAGGTCCCCAAGAATATAGGCCTTGATTGAAAAGAAAAAGATGAAAGAAATAAATGAAGGCAGCAGTCAAAAATAGAATTTCTATACTCTTTATACCTACCCCACCAACCTGAGTAATGCATTAAGCAAGCAAATGGGTGAGGAAGATTTATGCATACCTTTGCAAAATGGTGAAGTCCTTGCTGACTCCTAAATACACGTCACTGAGAAAAGCTTGGTGATAGATAAAGTGAATTCTGTCTTTACCTTCCACCGAGAATAACATTCACTAAGAACAGCCTCATATCCACTTTCTGATCCCATTTTCCCATCTTTTATCCTCCTAGTATGTTCTCCTTGCTGCTCATAAAAATAAAATTAAAAAAAAAACAACAGTTATTTAAGCTAGCAAGGTTATGGCCAAATAAGCACTGATATTTCAGTGTTTACAGTGAAAGAAAGGGAAGCATGGGCTCTGTTTTTAAGTGACTCATCTTTACATAAAATGAGACTTTAGCTTTGGAATCTCATTGTGAGATCACATCACTAAGGCTAAGTCAGCCGCTTATGATTTTCATGCCAAGAGATCAGTGTGGAATGCAATCAGTTCTGTGAGATTAGCTTTGAGGACTGTTTTGCCTTGCAAATCAATTTTACATTTGGAGTTAGGTAGTCTGCAGAGGCAATTTGTGAGACTTATATAAGTTTTCTAGTGCTTGGGAGAATGAAGAACCCACACCACTTTATGGGCTTTGAATAAATCAGACTATAAAATCTCTTTGGGTATTGAGTCCAGAAAGTCCTATTCCTAGGTGAAGTAATGCATAAAGATTTATGAGAATAAATAGTTTAAGGTAATTTAAAATATTTTTAGTATGCATAATAAAATATATATATATATCCATACAACAATCTTGATGCTATCGTTAATTTTCCTCTTTTAAAAAAATAATCCCTTGAAAATGCTATTAGGAGCTACCTTTCTGTCTTCATTTTGAAGGCAAATTTCCTGGATCTGCAGTAAAGCTAGATTCCTCATATCATTCCTAGAGTCTTCCCTTTCCAACAGTGACAATAAAACACAGTATGTTTTTCTCACTCTTAGCTTTTTCCTTAGAAAATGTTGCTAAATATGAAATACTGAAAGTGTTAAAAGGGACAATCAGTTGGAATGATCTATCTCTGACTTTGAACAAACAATGGATAAGTTGTCCTTAACTTGTTAAGACATATGACTATGTAGGACCATTTGATCTTCAAGATTAATAAAGTTTCTGAGTCCTAACAGGAAGTGCAAAACAAGTAACTCAACTTGTATATTGAAAAGAAACTGATTAAGACAGTGTAACAAACCATGATGTGAAATAAGTCAAATCCAAATTCACAATATATAAACCACGGCCCAAACTAAGAGTTTTTATAAGTTTTTCATAAGTTACAGCTTCCTAGCCAGAGAAAGAGTACTGTACTCCAAGAATCAACTAAAGTTGATGGATAGCAGGTATTCTGTAGTTGCAATAACAATTGAGTAGCTGCAGATTGCATAAATGTGTTGTGTCACATAATATCAAAGTTATTTGCAAAAATTATACAATCTGGAATGCTTGAATATGAGACACAACAATGTACTGAAACATACATTTATAAGAAAATGAGAGCAATCATTAATAGAAAAGGTATTTTTGGGATGCATTAAGTAAGCAGTGCTATCAAGGTTAAATAGGTAAAGTAAGTTCTTTCCAGTCTACTGTTTAGAATTTCTGTCTTATATATCTATGCCTTTTCCTTCAACAAAAATGATACATCTTCTCTGTTTCCAGGTTTGTCTCATTTAGAATGTAAAGACTGATCAGGGGCACAGCACACGCAGAGATCAATTTCCTTTCAACATGCTTCCATGTGGAAATTTCACTAGTGCTACCAGAGGACTGACTTTTCTTGGCCATAGACTGACTGACTTGTGTCTTCTGTGGAATGCAGCCACCCCGCCCTGCCACATCACTTTGATCTCACTTCACTCTGTTCTATTTCTCTCATTTGGCAAGTGTTCGTGGGGAAGGTTTGTTTTCAGATCTTCCATTTTATACAGAATCTGAGCTTTCTTCCTTTTCTCCCTGGGGATGCGACACTTTACAAGTGTCTTGGACCTCTTATTTCCGAGGCCCTGCCATCCTATTTGCATTTAAAGCAGAAGAGGCAGATAAAGCTACACTTTTTTCAGCATTTGGTTGATCTGGAGTCTCAAACTCCCAAGGACACACCTCGGCTCGCAATGTTAACGGCTGTTGGGAGTTATTACTTGAGTTATAAGAGCCAGGCACATTTTCCACAGAGGACAATGTCTGTTTATCCTGGTCTCCCATTTGATTGAGATTTTCATGCTCTAGCTTTGATGCTATGACTCTGGGGGGCAATTCTTCATATTGCCCAGCATACACATTGGCTGAATAACGCTGGCCTTCATTCTCATCTTTGGCTCTTCCTGGGAGAATGGGAGGCTTAGATATCAAATGCTTGTCATCCTCCAAAAGGGAATGACCCTGGTTTTCCCAAGGGCACATGTCAGCCTTATCTATGCTCTTCTGGCAGGACTGCTGATATCCTTCAGTCGCCTTAGGTTTGAGGTGTGACGTTTCTTTTAGGGAAAAGGCTGGGTTTGTTTCCACTTCAGAAGCTGCAATAGACACGTGTTTTTGAGATTTTGATGCTGAAGGCACAGGACCAGGGGTCAGGTCATAGATCTCCCAAGGGCACACTTCCCCGATGTCAAAGCTGCCCTTCATCCGGGTGGCAGCTGGGCTCTGGTCAGCATTGGCAGTGGGGGAGTTGGCCCCCTGTTGTTTCATAATCCCAGATTTCTGGAGCTTTTTTGGCTCCTCCAAGTGATTGGAGTTTGGGGGCGTGGAATCTTTACTTTCTGCATGATCTGAATTGGAGTATTTTCTATTTGTCTCTTTTTCCTTTGGCAGGGGTTTCTGGGATTTAGCACGTTCTTCCACCCCTGATGATTGGCTTTTCCCAGCCAATCCAAGAGTCTTCTCCTTGGCACTTGCTATGACGCTTAGAGACTTCTGCAACATGGATATTCGGGGGTGCCCAGGCTTCTTCTCAGAGCTGAGGTTGTGGGCACTTGCTGACTTACACACCAAAGGCACAGACTCTGTGGACTCGGCCTCACTGTCTTCTTTAAGTTTTTGTGTGAGTTTTTTACTGGAAAAAGAGTCCAGTGTGGAGCTTTCTGTAGCCTCCTCCTCCTGGCTTTCTGTTGGCAGGCTCTTGGACTCATCTGTTTGGTCTCTGACATGATCGTAAGTACTGTGGGATTTCTTGAGGGAGAAGACGCGGTTTTTCAGGGACTCCTCCTTGGGTTTCCCTGTGTTACCTGAAGACTCTGGGGGGTTCTTCCTAACAAGGGCTGTACTCTTGGCTGTGCTATGGTCTGCAGCCTCCTTGTCCTCTTTGGAGCACTGCCTGCTGACCGTCTCTGGGATCTCAGTGATGCGTCTCATGATGGACCGGCCTAAGCCCTTCTTGGAGCACCGCTTTTTCTGGAGGTGGGGATTATTTGTGATCATTTTCTTCCTTTTATATATTTCTAATTGGGCATACAGTTTCTTCAGCTCATCCTGTCAGAACAAGAACAAAGAAAATGTAGAATTTGGTATTTCAGCCAGAGAGTATCACTGAATGATATGTTAGCTTAATAAGCATGGGGTTTCTAGGGTGATTGCTCTGTAGCATTTCGTAACATCTTCACTCATCAATTTTCCCTTACTCCTACTGATTATTTTGTGTTTTGTGTTTCATAGATTGTTTTTAAGACATGAATTTATGTAATCCAGCCTTCTTCACTGGGCAAGAACTTTGACTTTCAACTTGTGTGGGCATGACTGAGCCAAGATTATATCAAAACACAGCATACAGCTGACCTATTAACCATTCCATAAACAGTGCTGGAAACACAATAGAGCAATTGATACAAATAATCTAATTTAATGTTAGATTAGGTTTAAGAACAGTGATCCAAGGCTACCACAAAGCACTTTCTTCCTTCTGGCTTTCTGTTGGCATGCTCTTGGACTCCTCTGTTTGGTCTCTAACATGATCATAAGTACTGTGGGACTTCTTGAGGGAGAAGACTCGGTTTCCCTGTGTTACCTAAAGACTCTGGGGAGTTCTTCTTAACAAAGACTGTACTCTTGGCTGTGCCATGGATTATTTTAAAATAACCCATCCTCTCTGCTCACAGGTATATTTTACCTTCCAATCAGCAAGAGGATAAATGAATATTATGGAATCAGTTCATCATTCTGACTGACAATAAGTTAATTGTCAAGAATGGTCAGCCTAATGTAAGAGTTGAAATAGCTTGTACTTTCCAATTAATACTACATTCATATGCATTCTCTTTTTCTCTAACACACATCATGCAAACATGAACACACACACACACACACACACACACACACACACACACACACACCAATCTATGTATTTCCCATATCAATGAATTTAAATGTCCCAAATCTGAAACTGGCCTTACCCGAATGTCCTCTGGATCCAAGCTGTGCTCACTCCAGGCTGAATTGATACTGCTGTTCAGGTAGGATCCAGACCGACCCATATCCAGCTCATCTTCATATGCTTCTGTAGCAATGTCATCACGTGGGTTATTGCTTGAATGTGAAAACTGCAATAGATATTCAATATGAGCCTTAGGCATTAGCTCACTAAAGACAGAGCATAATCATTTTTGAAAGGTTCTGATGTTAACTTCATTTCTTCAGCTGGATGAGTTTGTCTACTAAGTACTTTCCAGTGAATTGTTACTCTACTTGAGTTTTATTTTGCATATCATAAGCTGAAGCCCTAAGTAAGGCAATCAATATTTGGTCCTAGTTTTGATTCTAGCTTTTGCCCTTGCTCTTTTCAAGGCACCAATGTTAACTGACATTACATTTACCTCTCTCCCATTGCACACTTGCTTTTAGGAAGTGAAAATAAAAATCCAAAGAAAGACTTTTGAGGAAGAACAAGTTATATGTACTGGTGGTTCGTTGGATGGGTTTGGGTTTTCTTTTGAGTAGTGGTATCTACCTTGTGATTGTCATTTTGCTTCTATATTTTCTGAGAAATGATTAGCCCTAGCCATAAGGTGACTTTCAGTTTATACACATAGCATTCAGAAAGTTACATTCAAAACACAGTGGACAGGTTGTCTGATTCCTATCTCAACTCTGTCATTATGGAACCTCGTTGTAATGAGCTCTTGGTCTAACGTACTCTGAGTTAGATGGTGTCTGCATTTAAATGGAAAGCTTTCCTGAAACTACAGATATTTCCTTGACTCGTCATGTGTTCCTCTCGCCACACATTTAAGTTTGTTTTTCTAATATTGTCTGTTGATAGTTTTAGTTTTATGTGCCGGTCTCTATTCTTTTTTTTAAGTGGTGAAATCTAGAAAAGTGAATTTGATAAATGATGGAAAGTAGGAAGGAAAATCACACAATACTGGCACATTTTACACAGCATGTAATTGCTTTATGAAAATTGAGGTCATGGCTTAGAGAACATGGATTCCCCCTTGGTCAGCTTATTATTGGTGAAAACATTGTTTTAAAAACCAAAGCTCAACTTTTTGACAATAGAGAGATGTCTATGTCACCTTTTTGATAGACTTAGCTAGACAAGTGAACATGTATGTGGGATGACACATAAAATAGCAATTCTCTATTTAACAATAAAGCATGCTTTGTAATTTGAACTGAGAAACCATAGTACTGTGAATTATTCTTCCTTTCTTTTTCCTGTCTTTGCAAGACACATATGAATTTAGGGTCATAAATGGCAAATATGTTAGAGTTTCAAATCTTACAAGCTACAAGTTTAACTACTTGGAGATTACTTGTAAGTATAAAATTTATTTTCGTGAGTAAAAGCTTGGATATATTCATGAATTTAAAAAAGCAGAATTAGGGGATATGGCTCAGTAGCAACATGTATTCTTAGAAACAAAGCACAAAACCATCATTTGTCAGATATTGTCTATTTCCTACTCTATCATTCTTCCTTAGTAAATTATCAAAAATATTACTTTAGATTTTTTTTTTTTGGTTGATCATGGGGCTTGAACTCTGGGCCTGGGTGTTATCCCTGAGCTCTTCAGCTCAAGGCTAGTGCTCTATCACATGAGCCACAGCGCCACTTCCTCAAAAATATTACTTTAAATATTTATCTTTATTCTCACATCCCTCTCCTAATATAAGGAAAATGAAAGCACTGATTTTTAACTGTTCATGCGCTTAAGAATATGGTGATTAGCAAAGTCCTTAGTATTTTTACACTGTTTTTCTATTGAAATGTAATTCATGTGAGAAGAATTACAATTTTCAAATGTGTAATGATTATCAATGTTTATTTAGTATGTTTATTAAGTTATGTAACAGTCACTTCTATGTAATTCTAGATTATTTTATCATCTCAAAAAAGAAACAAACTTATTAGTAATCACATCTATTTCTCCTTTTCTCTGTTATGGCAATCTCTAGTCTACTCTCTATCTCTGTCAATTTGCCTATTATGGATAATTTGTGTAAATGTTTTCAAAGTTTTTCAAGTTCTAGAATTGTTGTATCAGCATTTCATTTCTTTTTATTAACAAACGATATTCCATTATATGGATACATCACAATTATATATTTATCATTGGACATGGAATTGTATTTACTTTTTAGTTATGGATAATGTTGCTCTGAACATTCAAGCATAATTTTTTGTATGAACATGTTTTCAATTATTTTTAGAGCTCAACAATTTATTGAATCGTGAAAGAATTCATCTAATAAATATATAATCATATTGTGCAAAGTATTAAAATAGGATAAATTATAGTAACAGACTACACTGGCTAGTTAGTGCAATTCAAGTAAAGATGAAAGTAAGTATTTTGTTCTATTTAAACTTGTTTGTCCTTTTCAATTAGGCTGAACCTCAATGGTCTTATCAATCATGAGAGTTGAGGTATAGCTTGGAGTGAAGATAGGGAGTCACATATTCATATTCATGTCACACATTGAAACACATAGGACATACAATGTTCTAATATGATTCTCTGTATAAAAGAGAAAAATGATAGTGCTGTCAATTGTATGATCTAGCTTTTCCCCAAACTCCAGTATCATATCATTCAAAGCAGTTCTACTACCTATAGATAAGGAAATGGAAGTTCAGAGAGAACAAAAATCTGGACTAATGGTACAGCACCCAGACTTTTTCACAGTGAAGAGCAAGTTCAAAATCCTTGTCTTGTGAGTCCTGGCCCATCTCTCCTTCATTATTAAAGCCTAGATAAGTCTTTGTCAGAATATGTTACAATGTAGAGTCTTCTGTATGTAACATTGCAACTATTTCTATTTATACAAAATATGTGAATGTTTTAAAAATATGAGTTCTCTGAGTATGTATGTAAACAAGATGATTCTTATAAAAAGATAGTTGTCTTAATAAATGATTTTGAGGTTATATTTATATTGAAAGCTACACTGAACCAATAATAAAAACAGAAGTAGACATAAAGTATTTAGAAAAGGACTGAAACATATCATGGATTTTGGTAAGTATTCTTATGATTATTTAAGATGTTTAATAAATTCAGAAAGAAAATAAACAGCTGATTTCCTGAGAAGAGAACTTGTAAAAGCTTCTAGAGTTTCAAGTTAATTTCCACATTTTTATATTTTTATATTACAAGATATTTTACAGAAATTTTTATATTACAAGGTATTTTAAAAACAATTGTCTTTCATTACAAAATATAATGGTATAAGAATACCTTTGGAATCAAAAGCAATCCGACGGTAACTGTCACAGTCAAATGAGTATGTGCAAAATACAGCATCAACATCCAATCAGACTGAAGCCGTGAGGCAAGAACAAATCTGAAATGAGAATTCACCACATAAGCCAAGAACATATCTTTTCATCAAATTAGAAATTATAAGACACATTTAAATAAATTATGATTCGAATATTCATTAATTAAAATAAAGAGGAAATTAGAGTGAAGAAATAATTAGAATGAAGAGGAAATGGGTATTATCAGTCTTTGTGAATGACCTCCAAGTTTAAATGGTAAACATGCAATGTATAAAATGAGTATAATATGATTTGCAAAGTACATCTTCTATAATAATTATTTTAGTTGTTCTTAATTATCAAATTTTCCTACACAATTTAAAAATGTAACACTTAAAATAGTCTCTTACTGAGAGCTGTGTTCCAAGTTGATTGAGGACAGAGAATCAAGATATATTCTAACAATTTTGGAATATTTTTGTAAATCAATAGGTACTTGTACAAACCTAAGTTCAGGTTTGAAAGATTCTTCCTTATGCAAAAATCAAGGGTTGTTTCAATTGAAGTCTTTTGCAGCATAAATCTTCTTTTAATTTGTTACTTTCCATTGTTTACCCATGAAAGATAAATACAAGATTTGGCCACTTTGGGAACTAGATAATTAGAATTTTATTACAATAACATATATCATCAAATCTGATGTTTTTTTAAAAAAAGCTTAGAAAGTATGCTAAGTAAAAAATAGTTCATTTTATAGTCAGAAATCAAAAAATACATGAATGACTAAAAAGAAACTAACTTCATATCTATATTATACCGTATTCATGACAATTTTACTAAGTAAATATTACTTTTTTTGTCAGTCATGGGGCTTGAACTCTGGGCCTGGGAGCTGTCCCTCAGCTCTTCAGCTCTTCAGCTCAAAGTTAGTGCTCTACCACTTGAGCCACGGCACCACTTTGGGTTTTCTGAGTGGTTTATTGGAGATAAGAGTCTCACAGACTTTCCTACCCAGGCTGTCTTTGAACCATGATCCTCGTGGTTCTCATGATCTCAGCCTCCTGAGTAGCTAGGATTACAGGTGTGAGTCACTGGCGCCTAGCCTAAATATTACATTATTAATGTTTAATACCAGGTTGTCATTAAGGGGATGGCCTCCTCATTTCTCCCTCTTCTCCACTGTTTAGAACATAAAGCTGTAATAGAAGTTCAGGGTCATCCAAAATAACTGTCCATTTTCCCATTCTTCTGGAGTTGGAGTCAAAATAGACTTGTAACATACATGGAAGTACTGGATTGCATCTCACATGTCACTAAAAAGGCTATTCTAGATGACCATTTTTTCTTAACTCCTTTCTGAGATAACTGGAGATGAATTGACATTCACTTTGTGCAAAGCTAAGATGCCTTTCACATAGTTTCTCTTCCTGGGCTCCTTGAAGTTTCTCTTTCTCTCTTCTTTCTCTTCTTCTTCCTTCCTTCTTTCCTTCCTTCCTTCCTTCCTTCCTTCCTTCCTTCCTTCCTTCCTTCCTCTTTCTTTCTTTCCTTCCTTTCCTTCCTTTCTTCTTTCCTCCCTTCCTTCCTCCTTCTTTTCAAGACATTTTAAAGTATTATAATAGGACCATTATATTTAGTAACAAGTTTTAGTCCCTGAAGACTGTTTAAGTTTGGCTCCTTAATATTCCTGATATAGATGTAATTGCACAAAATTATAGTAATACATATGGATATTCAAAAATATTTTAAATTATAAATGACTAAAATTATTTTAAAATATTCAATATTAAAGTAATATTTTAAATACTTTACATTATAAAGTATATTACATTTGTATATTACTCTATACCCTTGAATATTATATACTGTGTATATATTCCATATTGTATATATGTATTATTCCCTTTGCAAATGATACAGTGACCTCCTAAAGGTCACTGCAAGTATTTTAGGGGAAAGTACACAATGGAGATGGATTGGTTGGCTGTAAGCATACTCATGCCTATCTCAAATACCAATGCAAGTGAACTTCAAGCAAGAAAAATATACCTAAAAGGAATACTAATTCTATATATCTTGAGTTAAAATAGTTTATATTCTAAAATGGTAAGCAAAATATGCTACATTAATTACCTAACAATTAGTCAGCTTTAAGGTAATATGAGGTTATGTTTTTAGATTGTTCTGGCTAGAATTACCTTAAGAAAAGCTGGGTTTGCTGTCATTTTAAGGTTTAATTTTTAAGAGTTTTTTGACTTGAAAAAAATAGGTGTAAATGCTAGGAGTGTAGAAATATTTTTAAATTGAGGTTTTAAATTAAGCATATTTTACTCAGGCACTTGTGCTCACACCTCTAATCCCAGCTACTCAGGAGGCTGTGATCTGAGGTGGACCAAGCACCAAACTAACCACCAAAAAGGTGGAAGTATGGCTGGGGCTCAAGTGATAGAGCACTGGCCTTGAGCAAAAAAGTTTGGGGAAGCTGAGTGCCCATGAATCATGCCTATGATCCTAGCTACTCAGGAGGCTGAGATATAAGGATCACGGTTCAGAGCCAGCCTAGGCAGGAAAAGTCCTGAGACTCTGATCTCTAATAATTACTCAGAAAAAGAGAGAAGTGGAGCTGTGGCTCAAGTGGTGCAGTGCTAGCCTAAGCACAAAGAGGCTCAGGGACAGTGCCCAGGCCCTGAGTTCAAGCCTCAGGACTGGAGAAAAAGAAAAAAAAGGCCAGGGACAGTGTGAGTGTTAGGGCTCAGGACTCAATTTTAAGTCTCAGGACCAGCACAAGAAGAAAAGAAAAGAAAAAAAATCAAGCAGGTTTTTTTTTAATGTTCTATAATTTTCCCAAGTTTTATAAGCTTATCATTAAAAATAAGTAAATAATTCAAATAGATTGAGGGAAAAACTTGTGTGTATTAAAATTTTAGACTTAGTCCATTGAGTTTAGCCTATTTTTGTATATGTGTAAAAATGAAAGTAAATCCATATAAAATATGTAGTTATTTCAATTTATTAATATATGCATATATATGGATATACACATGAAAATTATATTTTAAGCAGATAAAAAAGCACACAAATAATATATTAAGAGACAGCATTTTTTTTTATGTTAGAAGCTTTGTTCACTTATTTTTTGTGGTACTGGGAATTGGACTCATTGTTTTACACTTATTAACCAGGTACTCTATCACAGAAATGTACTGCTAGCCTTAGAAGTTATATTTAATATTTATTTCATTCAAGAAAAAGATTATTGAACTGTATTGTTTTAGTTCTTACTTTGGGGATTTATAAATATCAGAACCATATCATTTGTGAGCTAGAATATGTGTAACTAAGATTGAGTTCTTTATTATTTCTATTACTTACTCCCTACTATTTCCCCTCAAATCACTATTCTGATGATTTAGCTATAATGCTAAACTATAATTCAGTAAGTATACACTCAAATATAAATATATCTAAAGTTGATATAGGAATTTGTTAGTAGTGCTTTTGTTGTTGTTTACTTGGCTTGAACTCAGGGCCTGGGCTCTGTCCCTAAACATTTTTGCTCAAGGTTAATACTCTACCATTTGAACCACAGATCCAGTTCCAGTTTTCTGGTGATTAATTGGAGATGAGTCTCACAGACTTTTTTCCCCCAGGCTTCAAACAACAATCCTCAGATCTCAGCATCCTGAGTAGCTAGGATTACAGGTGTGAGCCACTAGCTCCCAGAAATAGTGCCAGTTTTTTTTAATGGGCTGATTAGAGGCTTTAGTTTTTATTTTATGATTTTTTTCTATACCAGCTATCTACTGCTTTATCACATTTAAAGATTAATTAAATATATTTTTTGTCTTATTTATTTCTGAAGGAAGTTAGGCCAATTTTGTATTTGAAATCCACTGAAGAACTGGCAGTGAAGTAAAAAAAAAAAAAACCAGATCAGAGTACATCTGAAGTAGAAATAACTGCTCTGAACAGATTTAGATTGAGCAATCAATTTGCTTCTAAGAAGGCTAGCAGCTTATTATTGGCACATTATGACAGCAGAAGACATTTAAGCTCATCTGTGATAAACCTTGCAGGTTTGGAACTTTTAAGTGGTTTGGACAGTAAATGATGTATATAGTTTTAATATTAGATCTTGAAACATACATACTGGACATTTTGAAACCAAAATAAAAAGTAGCTTCACTTGGAAGAGAGGCTATTTCACAGAAATGTATAGTATTAGAGCTCAGAGGAAAAGATGAAGTGTCTTCTGGTACTTCCTGAGTGCTGCATCAAGGACATCACTTCCCAGATTCTCAGATTCCGGAGCTTTAGTCTGAGCAGAACTGAAAAGACAGTTGTCCCTTTGCTTACTTACAATGTTGTATTGCAACTTTCTCTCTGCTACTACCCTTCTCTCACAGAGTAAAGCAAATCTGAAAGGGGCAATGTCCTTGATTCCTGACCTCTTGATAGGGTTTCCAGGGTTGTGGGACCACAAATACCTCTTTTTCTTGCTTGAAACCTTTTAAAAGTCACCATAGTGGCATCTCCACTCCTAGTGATATAATTAATACACATAAATGAATAACAGAAAAGCATAAGTATAACAGGTTCTGTTGAGGGAAGTGGGCACCAATGGAATAGAGGAGGGCTAGAAAATAGGATGGGTAAGGATGAATATGGTCCACATAATTTATCTGCATGTATAAAAATAGAACAATGAGATATACTCAAACAGAGTAAGAGAAAGATGAAGTGAAATAGTATAGAAAAAGCAATGGGAAAAAGAAAAGAGAAGAGAAAAGAAGAGAGAGAGAAAGAGAAAGAAAGAAAGAAAAAAAGAAAGAAAGAAAGGAAGGAAGGAAGAAAGAAAAGAAGAAAGAAAGAAAGAAAGAAACAAAGAAAGAAAGAGAAAGGAAGAAAGAAAGAAAGAAAATGGGGATATGGCTTAACTGTCATATGACAAAACCTAATACCCATAATAATCTAATAATCAAATTGAAGTCAATTTTTTTTTGTTTCGAATGAATGAAAACCAGAATTCACACAAATAAGCTATTTGAGTATTAAGAGTTTGCTTTATAATTTATGTGTGTTGCTTTGGATTTTCAATTATAAATAGTGTCACACAGAAACAATATCCCATAATAACTTACAACTTAGTTTATGTAACATTTAGCAAATCTTCATAAAAAGTCAAAGGAAAAACAAATACATATCAAAAGAAGCTAAGAACAATCAAGTTAGAAAATGACTCATTTCTCCTTTCTGTAACAAATTACTCTATTTTTGTTTTAAAATTATATCTTTGTTATTTTTAGTTGTACAGTTATCATCCAAGAAATTAGTTGATAGGTATAATTCATCTTGATCTATGTTGCCCCATTATCCTTCTTAACTCTTTCTATAGTGCATTTTACCCAATTTTGCTACTTAGATTGTAATATGCAAGGAAAATTAATAAATTATTTACTAGGTCTGCAGATTACTTGCCTAATTGTGTGGAATATAGCAGAGATAATGAGTTCATTGTGAACTGCAACAGCCATATAACGGGGCTCATGGAATGCTGATGGGACTGTCCGTACTGCATAGCAGAGATATACGCCCCACAAAAGGAAGGAAAACTCAGCTGGAATGAGAACAAATAATTTCCATTAGTTTCACAGGTGAAGAGAAACAATGCCCAATGTCTTTAACATGCATCTTGTCTATTATTAAGACACTTAGTTAGAATAGGAGCTTATAAAGTGTCATTCACAGAAGAAAACAGACATATATTTATTAATTTAACATCTTATTCAGTGTATAGAGTCTTTTCAAAGGTATAATGTATCGTCATAATTTTAAACAGCATTTGCATTCTCAAAAATTTTTGCTAAAACAAATTTTATTGTACAATAACTTTCCACATGACCCAAAAGATTTTAGGACATACATGTAGAATCCGGATCATAATAATGTTATTAAGATGAAAACAGAATTTCAATCATGTGTTCAGACACAATTTCTAGAAAAATTTTACTATATCCAACCAGTTCTACAAGCAAAAATATCCATTGCCAGCAATGTGAGAACATAGGTTGCTAAACATTCAATGGCATATTTTATGAATGAAGTATTCATCTCTTCACTCATGACAGGAATGTGAGTGGAGTGCTGGAAGACATAAAATTTGCCATCCTGAGGTCTGGAAGATGGTGGAGGAGAATCTGGAGGCTAAACAAGTTCTGGCATAGAAAGAAGTTTTAGTGTTTCGGTGAACAGTCCTAGGCTACAGAATCACACCAAGTGTGCCATCATAGTACAGAGAGTTAGGCCAGAGAGGGAAAATCCAGGCAGCTTGATCAAAGAGACAGATCTGAGCACTTGGCTGCTGCAGCCGCCATATCAACAGAGAGAGCCTGGGACAAAGGCGCCAGATATGGTGTGCCAGCGGATTCTGCTCACCATCAGCAAAAACTGACAAGGGGCAGAAATCTTCATCTTGCTGATCGCAGACCATGGACGGCTTAGAGGCTGATGTGAGTACCCTCAAGACATCCTCACTCCTCCACCACTGGAGAAGAACTCCATTGTTGATACTGAAAAAGGCTCAGATAGAGCAGCTAGCTCCAACTCAGGCTTTGGAAGAAAACAATAGGAGCCATTCAACAGGTCACAGGAACCTGACCTGACCTGCGGGGCTCAGCTCCACCCAGGAGAAAGTCACCCTTCCCATGCAGAGATAGCTCTGACTTTCTTCACTGGGTAAACAGAGCCAGAGGTTGCTCCTACCCACGGCAACACGGTCACCAGCAGGAGGGGTAAAAGACAAACAATTGAAACTCAGTAAACATAAATCCTGAGAAAGGCTCCAGGCTGAGCTCTGTGAGTGTCTCAGGAGCGAGCCTCTCAGGGAAAAGCTACTGATTGCTGATAGGCCTCAATCCTACCCAGAATCTAGCCTCATCACAGCAACTCCAAGCTAGAGGAAACAGCCATCATCCTCTTTTGGGATACTCAAAGCAGATCTTCCTCCTGCTGAACTAGCCTGGGAGGAGGATCACAAAGTCCTGGGTAAGGTAGAGCTTTTATCTGCCTGCTCAAACAAACTGACTTAAGAAACCAGTCAAGCCATAGGAAAACCAAACACCACAAGCAAACCAGAGACTCCACCAAGAGACTGGTTACAGGCACAGGAGAGATACAAGATCTCCCCCACCCACCCCCCAAAAAAACCCAACTCTTTTTTTCTATATAATTTTTTAATTAAAAATTGTTTTCTATTTTTTCTTTCATAATTTTAACTTTAGGTGTGTGTGTGTGTGTGTGTGTGTGTGTGTGTGTGTGTGTGTGTGTGTGTGTGTGTTAAATCTCTTTTAACCTTTTGGTCTTTTTTTTTTTTTGCATGACTTAATTGCTGTTCTGCTCATCCCCAGATATATACCCGTCATCGATTATTAGACCTTATCCTTCATTGTGTAGATACTTAATTCAGAAATTGATTACTCAATTCACAACCTCTTAGGCTTAACTTCTTTAATAGTAGTATTATTTCTTTATTTCTTTATACCTATATAATTTTTAAATATTCCATTTTTAAATTTTTTATTTTTTATTTTTTCATCTTTCCTTTGTATCTCTCTCCTCTCATTCTGTCCTTTTCTTCTATCAGTATTATTTTTTATACTTAAATAATTTTTAAGTGTTTCATTTTTTAATATAAATTTTTGTTTTTTCATTTTTTTCTTGTTTCTTTATTTCTCTCCTTTCATTCTGTTCTATCCAGTTCCTCTTGGACATTAGGACTTGGTTTTTACCTCTCCACATCCCTCGAATCCTATTTTTCTCCACAATTCTCCCTAAATCTATTAACCTCTGATCTGCTGAATCCCTCTTTGATATTCTTAGCTCATTAATCCATAGTTGTTTGATGTTAAATAGATTGTATCTGTTGAACTACATTGTATCTGCAGCCATTTTGTCTGTGCAACTACAGGACTTTGGTTGATGCTTGCCTTAAAATAATGTTCTAACATGAAATTGGGGTTAATTTCATGGCAAATGGGTTGAATAGGCCAGAGAAACAAAAAAATGGCAAGTCAAAATATCTCAAATTGCACTCATGATAATCAGGTGACAGAACAGCTAATGAATAATCCAGAAGAGAGTTACAAAAAAGCAAAAAGCTCTACAAACACTACTGGTAAACATAGTAAATGAAAAGATTGAAAGCCTGCAAAGGACTCAGTGTGAGCATGAAAGGGAGGAAGCAAGATGAGGCTAAGCAAAGATTAATACAGGAAATCTCGTGAGCATAAGGAAGCTAATCAAAGATTGAAACAGGAATTGCATAAGCTGGCTGAGAACAGTCAAAGAGTAATACGTGAGTGTGAAGAAGCTAATCAAAGAGTAATACAGGAATTATATGAGCAGGATGAGAATAGACAAAGATCAATAGAGGCGTTCATGGAATCCATAAACAGACAGCTGAAGGAACCCAGGGAGACCACAAAGGAAAGGCTGAATGGAGTCTGTCCGAAGGAAAGGGAGTCCAATGAAACCATAACCAATCAACTAAGGGATTTGAGAATAAACACTGAACACCAAATTAAGGAAGTAAAGAAGTCCATACAAGATCGAAAACAAAGCTCCAACAAAGAATTTGAAGCCATCAAAGCCGACCAATTAGAAGGAAAGGAAATAAAAAACAAAGTAGAAAGTATTGACAGTAGGTTAGACCACGCAGAAGATTGAATCTCCGGGATTGGAGCCAGCCTAGATATTATAGAGAAAGAACATATAACTATCCAAGAAATATGATAGATCTATTCAACATTTGGAAGACACCATCAGAAGGCCTAATCTGAGGATAAAGGGTGTAGAGGAGCACCTGGAGACAGAAGCTAGGCAATTTATTTAACAGGATCCAATCATAGAACTTCCCAAAAAGATAGGCCTATTCAGACACAAGAAGCTTTTAAAACCCCGAATAGACCAGACCAGAACAGGACATTCCACGGTCACATTATAATTGCACAGGATCAATTCAGACCAAGGAAGGATCCTTAAAGCTGTCAAGGAGAAAAGATCAATCACTTATAAAGGGAAACCAATTGGAATCGCCTCAGATTTCTCAGCAGAGACAATTAAATCAAGAAGAGCCTGGAATGATGTATACCATGCCCTAAAGACAAACAACTGTCAACAAGAATACTGTACCCAGCTAAACTCTCCTTCATAACCAAAGGTCAAATAAAAACCTTTCATAGCAAAGAAAAACTGAAACAATATATCTCCACCAAACCAGCCCTACAAAAGATACTTAAATATGTCCTACACATAGAAAACCAACAAGACCACAATAAAGGTCAAGAAACCACACACACACTAAGAATCCAAGAACCATAGGAAGAACCCAGTTGTCCCAGCCCCCAAGAAAGTGGATAACATGGCAGGAACTGTCAAACACTTCTCAGTCCTAACTCTCAACATTAATGGACTTAACTCTCCAATTAAGCGACATAGACTGTCTATTTGTATTAAAAAGCAAGATCCTTCTATTTGCTGCCTCCAGGAGTCACACCTTGCCAATAAAAACAAATATATTTTGAAAGTGAAAGGCTGGAACAAAATCTATAAGCAAACGGCCCCCATAAACAGGCGGGAGTTACAATCTTAGTATCAGATAAAATAGACTTCAAATTAAAATTCATGAGAAGAGGTAAAGAAGGTCGCTACATACTAATTAAGGGATCTCTCCTTCAGGAGGATATTACAATTCTAAATATCTATTTGACAAATAACAGAGCACCCAAATTTATCCAAGAACACTACTTTCTTTCAAATCTCACAAGACCCAAAGACATTAATTCATGGGGACTTTAACACACTGCTATCCCCACTAGATATATGAACTCAACAGAGAAACCGCAGATCTAAACAACTGCATAGATCAACTAGATTTAACAGACATCTACCGAATATTTCACCCAGCAGCATCGGGATCCATGTTTTTCTCAGCAGCACATGGAACATTTTCCAAAATAGACCACATTTTAGATCACAAAGCAAACTTGTCCAAATTCAGAAACATTAAGTTATACCTTGCATTCTCTCAGAACACAAGGGAATAAAATTAGAACAAAACCCCAAAAGCCACCAAACGAAGTCCTGTAACATATGGAGGCTGAACAACACACTGTTGAATCACCAGTGGGTCAAGGAAGAGATTAGAAAGGAAATTCAAATGTTCATGATATTCAACAAAAATGAACACACAAATTACTAGCTCCTCTGGGACACAGCAAAGGCAGTACTCAGAGACAAGTTTATAGCTCTGAGTTCCTACATCAACAAATTGGAGAGATTTGAAACCAACAATTTAATGAGACATCTGAACCTCCTTGAAAAAGAGCAGTCAGTTCTATGACATGGGCCTTCTCTTCAAACTAATTCCAAATCAGACAGCTCCCTCTCTGGAGCCAATTAAGTAGTTTCTTTATTTGGTTCTGAGTTCAGGCTGAAAAAGCTTAGCAATCTGGCTGCTAAAGCAAAATCCATAACCTCCTTTCAGTTTTGTGCTTCTGACTCATGAATTGTTCTTTGCCAAATAAAAAGTTGTATTTTATTTTGTCTCACATTTTTATTTTATTTTATTTTATTATTTTTTTTTTGTCTCACATTTTTAAACAGGCCTCTGAGAGGATGAGGATGATGATATTGGCATTATGATTCTCAGTGGTAGCCTTTATTTACCAACGTATGCCATGTGTGTAGTGCTTGAGTTGGCACAAAGTATTTTGAACCTAAAAATATTTATTAAGCAACGACAGTGCACACAAAAAAGTCTACTATAAGTGAAAGATTCACATGTAGCTGCATTAAAAAACAGCATCTCCTGTCACTCAGAGCAAGAATTCTTTTTATATGTTACTACACCAAAGATTAAAAAAAGAAAAAGGAAAACAGTTATCAGGTTAATTAGTCTTTTACAATGGAGAATTATATTTAAAAAATATAAGACAAAATAAGATTTCTCATAATAGCTAAGCTGAACATGAAAATCATTTCATTAGCAATATCAAACAATATGTTCTCATTGTGAAAAACAATTTATTATTCAAAGTACCAATTAAACTAAATGTGATATATAAAAGTTGTGCTTAGGAAAAAATCAGCTTCATATAATTAACTTCAGACTAGCACTGCAATTAGAAAAGAAAATATGCAGATGTTACCAAATTTTGCCTTGTTATTATGTAGGAGTTGAAATATGTGTTGTGCTTCTGCTTTAGAAAATAATTCCTAGTGTTAAATGATTTTGATGGGAAGCATGAGTATATTTAAAAAGGGAATTACATTTATATTTAAAGATCCAAATAGGGCTTTTAGAAAAAGGAGGTATTTTATTGTTAATCTATAAGAAATAACAGTTTAAAAGCTAACTACTGTGGCCTTTAAAAAATTAATGTACCACAATGTAAGTAATTCCAATTGCTTTTTCAAAGGACTGGAGCAAGCAAGAAGTGAGAATTAATATCAGTTCTGTGTCACAAAAGATGTTCCAGCTCTGTGATCTTAGATCACCTATAAGGGCCAAGAGGAGAACAACTTCAAAGTGCAAACAGCCTTCTGGCTATGGCACCAGGGCTAGCCATGCTGTAAAGTCATTTTGTGCTCACAATATTTTACTCTTCTTAGCCCCATTAAACTTATTTTAAAGTAACACAGACACATAACTTATGAAACATTTAAGTTTTTGTTTCCAAGTATTTCTTTTGAAATCTTTTGATTGTTGAGAATTAACATACATTAATAATATGAGGGAATTTCATTGTGATAATCCTTCACATGACTATAGCATAGTCTGAATGAGTTTACATCCTCCTGTGTATGCTCATTCTTCCTTTCTCTTGATTTATCAAATAGTAGTATTTGGTAGGTTTTATTGTGTTGTGTTGTGTGTATGTGTGTGTGCATATATATGTATATAAATATATATGTGTAGATAGTGTGATGTGTATATTTGTGTGTATACATCAAAGTACACTGTATAGTATATATGTAGTATGTATAGTATGATTGTTTATATATACATACATATGTATATAATATATATGTAAATACACACATATAGTTTACTTTAATCCTCTTGAAACTTCAGTATCTTTCCCCTTCCTACTTACCTGTCCTCAGTTTCCCTTTTATATCCATGATTCATTATTATTAGTAGTAGTAGTATTAACATTATCATCAACATCACCATTTTAGGTTTAGGTTCCACAAATGAGCAGAACATGTGATATTTGGCTTTTTGAGTTCATTAAGTTGTACTGATTTCATATCTCACCTGTCATAATTTTCTAGGATAATGGTTTACATCCTAAGAAACATTTTTAGAATTTCCCTATATAACTCAGTAAAAGTTTCCCAGTTCCTGTTAAACACTGGCAGATGAGTAAACAACATATGTTTTGTGTGTTTAAAATATTATACCAAGAAGGAGAACAACAAAGAAGAAAAGTATGTCAATGACAAAAAATAAATATTTTTTTCTGTAGTGCAAATATTCCATGTACAAATCACGGAACTGACTACAATTTTGACTAGTGAAGTAATCAACCAGGACTCACTGAAAATACAAATACTTCAAAATTCCCAAATGGAATGGCCTTTAAGCCTATCACTACAGTTTAATTATTGCTTACACTTTTTCCTGTGCTGTTCTTTCCAGATTGACAAGTATACTCTAGAGCAAGTGTTGTCAAACTCAAAGAATTCCTAGGGCCATGATATATCTCAGGCATTGGTAGACTTAATTTATAACAAGGCAATAGTTATTAGATCATGTAAATGTTGTTGAAAAGATTTGGATGATGACATTCATACAGAAAGATAGAATGGGAGAAGATAATACAGGCCTCCATTGAGCTTCTGTATGTATGCTTTTATTGGGCTAAAAAAGAAAGTAAAATAATTAATTTTTAATTATATTTCAGCTAACCTCTGGAATAAACAGTAGAGTGCTTGCCTAGCACTGCACTAAACTCTGATGGACATCTTGAGTCATGGAGTGGAAATTAGGGGTGTCATTGACATTAGAATGTACAATTGCTCCTCAGCAGTCTCATAGTATATTATAGGTAAAATCTTTCCTATTTATTCTAAATTATCTTACTGAAATCATTTCATATATTCAATAGATGTTCTAAATTCATAATCATAAATTGAAAGCTTCCAACTAAATATACCAAGAAAGTATACTATAGTACCATCTCTACTACCATGTATTCCAAATTTGGAAGCCCTGTATTGGAGGACCTTGGCTGGGATATCTAGATCTAGGTGCCAAACCTGCTACTAGGAGTAAGAATATAAAATTTAATTTAGGGAAGTCAATGCTGCACATTTGTGCATTTTATCAAGCAGACAGGAAATTCATAAAGGACTAAAAATTGACTTCTCACTATGCCAAACTTGAATGCTTTTGTCAAAAGTGTGAATGTGAAAAATTAACTACCAGCTTCTTAAGTGGGTCACTATATTTAGAAAAAAAGAGAAAATTCCACTAGCAACCATTTTCATAATGAGTATGGCATGATATTTGAGTGCTTTTTCTTCATTAATTTTGGATCATGTTTTCCAGTTTCAACCCTTCTATTCTTGTCATAGCTCTTGAAGGATAGTAAATAATGGAAAATTTCATCAAAAACAAATAAATTTTATTCTAATTTAAAAGTGTCACTTTCATTTGCCATGCCAAATTTGTATTTTCTATTGTGTGGACTACCGGAAAAGATGGAAGCAGTTTCATAAAATAGTTGTGAATGGCCAATTTAATTTAGTTAAGTTACTCAAAACTATCTCCCAAAATTTGAATATTTCATTAAAATGAAATTTCTGGAGTTTTACCTTTGGTAAGTTTCCTTCTTCTAGTCTAAGTGGGTTCATTCTTCCTTGCTCTCTAAGTCTTCCTCCTAGAATTGTCCAGCAGTAATAGATAAAAAAAACTCACTGCTTTTCACACTCCCTCCTTCCTAGTGGGAAGAATTTGTTCCCTAATGAGCTTTCTCTCTAGAGGAAGGGGAATTTGGTGGCAATACAGTTGTGTGTTGCTGAATGTAGGGCTATGCTGTTAGGAAATTTCCCATAGGGACATATGGGAGTGTGGTGTATTACCTAGACAGTGCAGGACAATCACTGGACATGGCTTAGTGCAATCCAGTGACTCAGTAAATATGAGGTGTAAGTGGTCCATAGAATACAGTATAAGGCTTTATAGCAACCTTTTTTCCTCTTTAACACTGGAGTTTGAATTCAGGGTCTTATGCTTGCTAGATATAACTACTAATATGTGAGCCATGCCTTCAATGCTTGTTGTTTTAGATAGGGTCTCATGTTTTTCTTTTTTTGGAGGGATAGTGGCAACTCATGATGAGGTTCTTCTCAGCTTTCTATCGGCTCTGCTCTGTAGCTTTTACTAACTACATATCGCATGGCTTGGATTTTTTTGTAATATTGAGTCAATATTACAAAAGACAGATTAATCATAAAGGAAAGAGTAATTAGAAATTTTATAGAGGCAGTCTGTTCACCAAAGGATTCATATCAAGTCTGATAATATCGCAAGATCAAATGTATAGAATAATATCAAACTTTCTTTTTTTTTCTCCAGACCAAAGACATAAATCAAGAGAACACTGTTAATCAAATAGAGACCAGTTGACAATCTCTTCCTACACAGAAATTGCCTTTACTCACGGCTTTTCCATTCTCATTTACTTGGTTAAATTTTTTTTCAACAAAGCTACATACCTTTGAAAAAGAACGGAAATTTCCAGAAAATGCTTGTATTCTATATATAAGTACTCTCATGATCATAATACTGTTTTTCAAAATTATCTTAGATGGAATTATTTTAGACATTATAAAAATTTTGCAAAGCTCTTGTAGTTATCAATTTTACTGCTATTAAGAAAATGGACAAAGCAATCACACACAAAAAAAGTGACCACATACCAACTGCTGTCATATAATCCCATCTGTCTATGAGGCACATATTGAAGATGAGGTGATCAGATGTCTGCCCCTGGCCAATAAGTGAAATCTGTCTCTCCAAATTCTGGCACACAGATGAGGTCCAGCCAACAAGAAACCAAAATACTACCAAAAGTATTACTGCTAGCATCCTCATGACCCGGCCACCAGTCATATATGGGATTCGTTGTGCTGTTCGTGAAAGAAACACCTTCAAAACCCTGGAAATACAGAAGAGCAACAAACAAGTTTAGCCTAATACTGAGTAAGTAAAACACAAAAGTGTTATATTTCTTCTAGGAAACTTAAACCCCCAAAATACACATTTACATCAAGTTTTAACATGAGAAAACCCAGCAATACTACTGTTCATATTTTAGTTTAATTTTAGTTTATACTTCAATAGCAAAACAAATATCCTGTATTACAAGCCATCAGATCAACAGATGTATATATGAAGAAATTCTTTAGCACCTCTTAATGTTTCAAAAAGTTATTGAGCATCATTCAAATAAACAGGGTCTCTGGGGATCAAAAATAGTTCTAAAAATAAGTAGAGTATTCCAATGTTAGACTAAATTAAAAAAAATCTTCCTGGAGCCAGTATTTATTTTTATAACAAGACTTTATTGGCGGTATTTTCTGGACATCATTCCATGGGGCCTTCCTTCATAGCTTTTATCATAGTACCTAAATCAATAATTATAAAAACAAGAGATATTTAAATTCCAGGCTAAGTGAACAAGAAATTTCATAAAAGAAGAAGACTGGAATTAGATTTTTTTTTAAGTTAGAAGGTCTTTATATTTTTTTACGGATGATTGAAACAGTTGAGAATTGCTGGATTAAATAATATGCAAGAGCTGTTCAACATCTAAATATTGTGGAAAGACAAAATACTACCTCTATTCACTCTTCAATTTTATCTCAGGAATATTCTCAGCTGATTTTGATTCTATACCCCCATTTTGATATTTTGTGATACCACTATGATTTAACATAAACCACTATGACTGTTTAATGATACTCTGAGAGTACCCATAATCAATTTCCATAAGGCAAAGTGTGTACATTAGCCTTTTTTTTTAATTTAATTTAATTTTATTTGTGAACATACTGTACAGAGGAGTTACAGTTACATGGGCAGGATAATGCGTACATTTCTTACCAAGCATTGCAGCCTCCTCCTTTGTTTACCCTTCACATCCCTTCCCAGCCTCCCCCCTCTCCCCCCAATCCCAATCCTTCTCCTTCCCCCCCCCCCCACCAACGTTGTAAAGCTCGTTTTGGACATGACAACTTGTACTTCTCATTGTTGCAACAGGTCCACCTGTATCCTTAAACAACTGGTTTTTCCCCATCTCCTCCACAAGTTATACTGACATCAAATATAGTGAAAGCAGGGGTTATACTGTGGGGGAGGGACATACAAAGCAACAAAGAGATAATCTTATAAATGTGTTAGAAACACATGCATGAAAGAAAAAAACATTAAAATACACATCTAAGGGTTCATTTTCCTGACATCACATTATCTGACCTTTTCCGCTTGACTCATACATATACTAGATATTACAAATAAGGGAAACCATGGGACCTACGTTTCTTTGGGCCTGGCTTACTTCACTTAATATAATTTTTTCCAAGTTTTTCCATTTCCTAACAAATGGGGCAATGTCATTCTTTCTGATGGAGGCATAGAATTCCATTGTGTATATATACCACATTTTCTTGATCCATTCATCTACTGAGGGGCATCTGGGTTGGTTCCATATCTTAGCTATGGTAAATAATGTAAACTTGTTCAACCACTTTGGAAAGCAGTATGGAGGTTCCTCAAAAGACTTCACATAGAGCTCCCCTATGACCCAGCAATCCCACTTTTGGGCATTTACCCTAATATTTACAAACAAGACCACACTAAAGCTACCAGCACAACTATGTTTATTGCAGCATTATTTACATTAGCCTTTGTACCCCCCCATCCATATCAAAATTTTAATGACATTCAAGCTATATGAATTCTTCATAGAAATCACTATAAATCCAGAGAAGTAAATATACTTACTCAAAATAGCCTAGATATATTATGCAACATTTCCTTCTATATAGAGATATGTGCTAGCTCTTCTTGAATTAACACAACACATCCAGTAACAAAAAGTTATTTTGTAATACAGTTTACTCTTCTCCCTATGTATTTAGTTCCACTGTCCCTCAGATAACACAGAGCAACTTTACATATTTACCCTCAATTTTCTGTGAATAATAACAAACTAGTAACAAATAATAACAACCAGTAACAAATAAGGGTAGAACATATTTCTTAACTGCTTTCCAATTGACTTCTCCAGATTGATTTATTATTTGTTCCTTCTATAAACCATATGTGGAGCTATCCAAGCCATGCTGAGCACTGGAGTACCTGAAGTACTCCTGCTCAGCTAGTTCACTGCTGCTTGCTATGAATCAGCTATTCTTGTCCCTAAGTAATGCCTATTGTTGTAATAGTCATAACTTAATAATTCAAGTAAATATTGAATAAAATGATCACACATGTTTATGAAACAGAATGATACCTATTTCTGTTAAAATCTATCGGAATGCTCTAGAAAAACTCTAAAATAAGATACTAAGTATAATGTTAACTTAGGGGAAAGTGAGAAGACTACCTACCAGAGCTAATAAACATATACTCAGAAAATTTTGATATTCAGACTATATTTACATTCAGATGTTAGAAAACATCTTTAGATTCTTAACATCACGTAAAGAGTCAACAGGGTAAATATAATTACCAAACAGAGTAGTGATTTATGTAAAAAAGAGAATGGTAAACTCTAAGTGTTAGACCCATAAGTCAAAGAAAATATATTTAAAAAATACTTAAAGATTGTTTGTTATAGTTATGGTTATAGTTATTTGTACAGTTCTTTGATTTCATTCTACTTTAAACAACTTTACCAATGAATCGACCAATTATTAATCTTAATTATTTAGGATAAAAAACCATTATAATTAATAGGCTCAAAGTATCTATATTGAGAATGACAAATTTCTTGGAAAAGTAATATTTTGTCAGTTCTAATCTTCTTTTCTGTAGGAGAAACATGAAGTTACCATAATTGTTTCTGGTTACACCAGGATGAATTCAAAAGTGGATATGATTAGTCTCTCAAAAGAGAATATTGACCATTTTGTAGACTTTCACATTTTAGCTAGTATAGAATGAGAGAAATTCTAATGTTTACTTTTAATTAGAGTATCTTAAATAAAATGACACAGGAGACTTAAAATATGCTCTTGTCTTCTAGAAGATCAGTCTACAAGATATAATCTGATATTGCTACATATGAAGCAACACCTAATTATGCACTGAATGTAGCTAATATTTCTCTGAACTTTGTAGCATGTGAGGGATTTAACCTGAGCCTTGCTGAAGATCAATCCCTGGAAATGAGGGAAATGGATAATTTCTAAGGAGGTATTTTAGTTGAAGGGACTCACATAAAGTATAAAGGACTTCTGCTTTGTGAACCAGTGGGTTGAATTGTTTGTAGGTAGAGAAATTTGGATCCCAACATCTAGAAACTCCTATGAAAATTTCAAGCTACTGCATGGAATTTTCATCAGTCTAAGAACCACTGCTTTGTGGGTAAATGGTTATTATCTACACCTCATTCTCATGGCAGAGATGTAGAAATCCATTTGCTTTCTAATATTGAAGATTTTCACAATCTTCTTTGAAACTCAAAACCTTACAGAGGTAATAGTGGATTCATTAAATAGCGGTCTCCTTTTAAAACACTTCATAATCAGATAAATTCTGACTACAGAGAAAATCTGTAAAATCTGTAGCATCTGAATTGATCTTTTAATCAAGAAATCCAACTTCCAAAATGAAAAAAAAATATTAAGCCAAGCAAGCCAAGCCCAAAGAAATGTAGGTTGCGTGGTTTTCCTCATTTGTAATAACTAGAATATGTCTATGATTTTCTTAGCAGGGGATCACAATAGCCTAATCACTAAGTGCATAGGGCTATATATATATAATGAAGTGTATCAAAATGAACTTCAAGAGCTGGAAACAAGCGGTTCTTATTATGTCCTGTTTTCAGTCATTTCTATTTCTTTTCTGTTTTAGTTTTCTGTACCCTTTGTCTTGTATATAAGTTTATCTGATCCGTGGAAGGGAAAGGGAATGACAGAAATAGCAGGACAAAGGATGAACTAATGCAATGATACTCATTAGATACTATGTTGGAAATGAACTTTACAATTGGGGAGAAGGGGAGTGGGGAAGGGGGAAGTGGTAGAAAATGAGGAAAGGTGTAAGAATGTTTAAAAAGAAATGTACTTATTACCTTACTTATGTAACTGTAAGCCTCCCTCCCCCAGTTCATCACCTTTACAATAAAGATATACAAATCCTACTTCCAAGTGATCAGAAATGCTTGTTTTCAGAATGACCCTTTAAATATTTATTGTGCACCCTGAGAATTCAAGATTGCCATAAATCCTATAATCTCATTTCCAGAAAGGGAAAAACAAAGCAAAGCCCTTCTGAGTCTCTTATTATTGACTTTACTGGTTTTCATATAATGGAAAACATTCAAGCCTGCATTTAAATATAAGCATTATAGAATGGGTTTTTGTAAAATAGAATATTTTTTAGCACCACCTTAAAATAAAATGAAGAATTCTGCTATGTCCTTAAATAATGAACCTGTTAGTTTATACAAGTTCACTCCTAGAAAACAAATTTTAAGAGAAACCAACTTTCAAGAAATATCTAGACATGCATTTGTATAAACCAGTAGAAAATTACAATTAAGCTTCTGATATATAAGGTCTTTCTACTATTTATGTAAGTAAATTTTCACAAGGCTTCCTAATTCTGAAGAAAATTGGTGGCAGATATAAGGAGGACTGCCAGAAAATTCTAGATCTTAACAAGAAAATAAATACTTAAAAGTATTCTTTTGGTTCTGGTTAAAAGTATAAAAAAATGTATGGAAACTGTGCCAAAATGGTGAAGTAAAAGAGCAATCCAGAAGCCGGGCGCTGGTGGTTCACGCCTGTAATCCTAGCTACTCAAGAAGCTGAGATCTAAGGATTGGTTGAAAGCAGCCCAGAGAGAAAAGTCCCAGGGAGACTCTTTCTCTAAGTAACCACTCAAAAACCAAAAATGGATCTATAGCTCAAAGTGACAGAGCACTAG